TTCTCATTCAAAGCACAAATGACAAATTATTATTATTATTATTATTATTATTATTGTTGTTGTTGTTGTTGTTGTTGTTGTTGTTGTTGTTGCATTTTATTTTTCTTATTATGGGTGCAATTCCCAAGATGGCTTTTGAATCCATTTTACAACAACTATCCTATTACTCTTGCTACAACTGGCCTGCACAATTGGTACCAGAAGGAAGGAGCCATGAGGCGGACCAACAGGATTTTCTTTCTCTGAGACTATTACCCATTAAGAGAAGTTCTTAAAATATATGTTAGTTCTCTTGCCAGACATAACAAGGACAGTCTTAAATGAGCATGTAAGGAGTAGGCAGAAAAAGAAACACTGCAGTGTCATACATAAGAATTAATAGATAAGCATGCATCTCCAGCTTTTATGATATTTATCATAATTTACTTTAAATATACTTTTCAGTGATTATCTTAGGGACATGCAAGAGTTGGTGAATAATTGGTTATTCATTATCCTTTGAATTTAATTATTACAGTGGAAGGGGGCTTCCTTCAAGAGGATGCAAAGTCAACTTTCAATTGAAATTATTTTGGCGTATTACTGGGATTTCTCCAATAATATGCAAATCATTTCAAAAAGAATACTTTGGTTACTAAATGAATGGTCTTAAGTCAACAACTACCTGTATTTATCAAGATGATGAATCCACAACAGCAGCTTCAGGACCCTCCCTAGCCTAGCATCCTTTACTTGGATGGATAATAGAACATTGACATAACATGCTTTCCGTGACTCATTCTTCTGATGAGTCGAACTGATATGTTAATTTCCCAGATGTTATCCAAGGCAATTCCTTACAAAACCTACAAGTAGACAAAACGCTATAACTGAAACTTATAGCTGAGATTTATGAGCTTAATTAATGCTCAGGAATGCAGTTTACATAAAGGTAATTCTTGGAATTGTTATGAAGTTACTGTACCCAGACTAATACTTATGCATTCAACATTGCTAATTCCAGCCCTTGCAAAAATATCAAGTGGAAAAAATGGGGGCAACCCTAATTAATAAATGTTACTATACAAGTTAAAAACGGTGTTTTCAGGATATAACTGGAAAGTTCAATTCTTTGAGTTTTACTTTATCACTCAGGACAGGCTTCCCCAACAAATTCACAAAACAAGGATAGCAAAATCAGATGAAATTGGGAAATTAAATAAAGCCTGCACTTTAAAAAAAACAGTATACGAATTATACAGTAGAAATGAAAAACCATTACATTTAAATTGCTTATTAAAATATGTTTTCTAAGTGATGCAGGATTTACATGAAACACTCACAGGTGAATGCTATTCATTTCCTCCTACCATTTTCACTTTGATACGTATTTACCCACCTGATTTCATTGTTCACTTGTTACTTTATGATAATATTAATTATCAATTAACCACCAAGCTAGATTCAAGGATTTACTTCTGATCGATAAGCTCATATGCAATTTGGGACTAGGAGACATGGGCTCACTTTCTATGCACTGATGGTTGATTGTTAAGAACCTCTAATGAAATCTTGCCTTGTTCACCGCCAAACAATAAAGTATAAATTTGTGTTTGCTTACATGCAGGTCTTCTCTGCAGTAGTACCTGTATTCTAGAATGTTCCCTCCACTGAAATCCAGAAGGTCTTAGCCTCTTCTTTCAGTGTTGTCTTTGTCTTTCAATTTGTGAATTTGCTTGGTTCTGTCTTCTTTGCCACACACTGCTTTTTAAATTATTCTGTAGGAGTTGATGAGGCTGAGCTCAAGGGCAGTATCAAATGGGTCATCAGTTTGGAACCTAAGTTCAGCCACCCATGAACTCCATTCACTGTTATCTAGTGCCAATTTTCCTTGACTGTTAGTAGTTCAGATTCTTACGTATAGGTAGCATGAAATAAATTGTAGTACTTTTGAACTCTGTCCTGATTCCTGTTTTCTTGTACCTGACATATTGTATCTTATATGTTATTTTTAGCGTTTTATCATTGTATTTGAATACCTTTTAATTGTGTACTAGTAAACCACCTGGTTTCATAGGAAGCAATTCATTAAAGTAAATAAATGAACAAAATAATGTTCCTCTCCCAAAGCCTGTGCCATTACACATGTCTTCATATTTTGGGTAAACATAAGATTCTTTGTAGTTTTTACACATGGAAAAAAAACACTATGGCCTATATACTCCTCAGATATCACTGAGGACAAAGAAACACTGCTATCTGTATTACAATTTCAGTTCTGGATATTATGAAAGAAATAGCCCAGTTTCCACCCATGAAGAATCTGAGTAGATAGTTCAACCCGCTCTATAAGTAGCCTTATCCTTGTGAGAGAAAAACACACACCCTATAAGTAGCCTTATCCATGTGAAATGAAAAAAAATTGTTTGAGTTAAATATGTAATTAAAGTTGGTTTAATTAAGAATGCAGTGGGCGGGTGCTTTTGACTGAGGTCTCCAATCTCAAAGCAGGAAGTATCAAATCCTTAGATTCTTCCCTCTGGCCTCTTCCACTTGCTTCCGAAACTGTTTATTAACATTTATGACACCAGGAAGGCCCAGTACATGTTATAAAGACTGGAGAGAAGTCATTATCAGATGGGCTTGGATTTAGGAGAGCTGCTGTAGATAGGTTCCTCCTTCTTGGCTTTGATTCCCTTACAATTCTTACAACTGGAGGGTGATAGATAATTGGGGGTTGGGCAAGTTCAGGAAAGGGATGTGGAACCTTTTGCTTGCTGTCACCTTCTAGTCTACTGCATGCACATAATTAGAGCACTCAGACCTTCTTCCAGTATTGAAGTCTTCTGTGGAATGCCTTAGATGACTTTGCCCACACCAAGGGAGGAAATCTAATGCAATAGTATATATATATACCAAGATGTACTTACCGTCATATAACTTTTCTTTTGAAATTATTGAAGTTTTCTGCCATGTTTTTTTTTATTAGAAAAAGAGATCGTAAAGGAAATAAAGGGCTAAAGGAAGCTTAGAATGGAGGCACAAATGCTTCTCTGATTCTGTTTGGGTCACTTACAATGGTTTGAATCCTCCTGAGCAAAATAACATCGAAACAAACAATCCTTATGAGAATCATTTCCCCTCTATCTCTTTTCCCACTTAAAATGGCTTCATGACTGCTTTTCTATCCATGAAGTAAAAGATATTCCCCCATAAGTAGAAGAATAGATATATGTGGGGAAGGGGGGGGGATAAGTAACCCATCTCTATTATTTTTATCTTACACCCCAAAAATTTAAGCTTCAATATGACATTTTTTTCAGTATTAATTGCCTTGAGACATACATTGTACCACTCTTTCATACCTAGAATAGTATGGAACTTCCAGATATGATGTTTTCCCCATAAATCTTACCCAATGATCACACATTATACAGTATTTCCCTTGAAGTCATTAGTCAGGATCTGCTAGAAATGTGGTTTCAGCAGAAATGGAATCAGAGTTTGATTTCTGCTTGTCGAGCAGTTAAGACACCAGAGTTGTGTGCATCATTCAGCAAAGCAAAATTTACCCCAGGCATCAAATTCATACCAACAAATATTATGTTGGTAATAATTCTACAACAGATTTCATTGATTGTAGGGACTTCAGTCATCTAGTGATCCTTGAGTGCAAGCACCCATCCCTTCTTTCTTTTGCTGTATTTTAAAAGTAAAAATAATACAGTGAGCATATGTCCCTATGGCTTTATACAAAGACAGGGAAAAGAAAGCATGCTCCAGCAAACTGTTTCAGCCCTGGAGAGCTCTGGCAAACATATGCCAACACAGGTACTAATAACATGCTTGGTTCCCTGATCTGGGGTAAGGTCAGTTACAGCACTATCTCAAAATAGTCCATGAAAACAGTATTGCTTTTGATTCATAAGCCAAAACAAACAAACAATCCATTACTGGATATCTGAGAGTCATCAGGCACTAGAATAACACTGGATTTTTTTTTCTAGGTTTAGAGCAAATGTAATTGGACCATATCATTATTTTCACTGCTACCCATGTTGCTGTAAGCCAGAGTATTACAAAAGCAGTGAGAGGTATAAACTTTAAAAGGAACATGTGAATGCAATGTTCAAGGAAACATTTTTTGCTTTATATCAAGATGGTGAGATAGGTTCCATTAGACCCATGTGATTCAGAACACAGCAGATCACAAGTAGAAACAAATGGAAAGACACGTTGTACACACTCTTAAAAGTATGCATGCAATTCCAAGCCAGCACCACCACCACCACCACCATGTTAACTGTTTCACCTGCTCTAAAGTATCAACACTTGGAGAGAAACAGCAGAACATTTTGATTGACCAGGAAGCCTGCAGAGGGTTCTCAACCTCTCCTGAGCCATTTGTCCCAATTGTTTGATGTGGAAAAAAAAAACTTAAGGAAAGGAAGAAGGTAAACTGACTTCCAATGTGGGAACCCCATTACTTTACAAATTTCTTACAGTGGGGAATTTAGCAAAAGAAAAGCAAACAAGTAGGCAAAATCCTTTGCACCGCTTAGGATGGCCTAGATGGTTTGAAAGTCTTCGTATAATTAAAGACAGGTAAAAAGATAACTTATATCTAGGATCACTTTTGTCATTCTTGCTAATGCAGAAGCTAGAGAATTGGCATCTAAGCAAACCTAATCTTTCTTCTTAGAACATTCCCATGATTTCCTCACCAGTATTCAAGGGTGGACCCATCACTAATAAAAGTACAGAGATGGGGAAGGTGGATGCCTTTCTGAGTTCTGGATCATTAGTCTTTCAGATTGTCCCTGGGCACACATAGGAAAAGAAGGAGCCCTTGACTAAGTCTCTAATTTTGTAGCCTGGGTGGATTCTCAATAGAGAAGGAAGTCATTTTTAGATTATCTGTCTTTTACAGTTCTCAGTAATCTATACAAGACGTATCAGGCTTTCTGTCTCTTCCTGCTTGCTCAAGCATTCCTGGCCATCTCTGGGTAATATTATCTTACCTGCTAGAAGGCAGTTCAGCTGACAGAGCTGAAGCTTTTGCTGTCTGGATTAGGAAGCAAAGCTTGGGTGATCCGAGCAGCAAAAGAGAAGGGTGCCAACACAGCTGCAGGTTTCTTTCCCTCGACTCTGATGCCTGTAGAGTTTCACTCAGAGGCTGCCTGTGCTTTCCGTCTTCTCCTCTCCCTGTTACCGAGGAGAACAAACGTGACAGGCCACAATGTGCATATCAGAGCTTGAATGGTGTCCACTCCAGCAAAGGCTCTGTTGGATAAGAAAAGTCCTGTGGTTACACTTCATGCCTCAGAGATCCTGCTAGATGATGCAGGGAAAAGAAACCGTTTCCACCTAAAACCACAAGTTGACAAAGAGCAGAAAAGAAGTGACAGGAGAGGAGGGAGGAGACCTGAAACAGCCCCCGGTAAATAAGAAAAGGCAAATCGTCTGAGTGACTAGCAGTCCTTGGCAGGCAGTAGCTGCTGCAGCAGCTCAGTGCTCAAATGAACCACCCTCCAATGGGCTCCTTCTAGGCTGATAATTGAATCAGATGGACTATTCAGCTGAGCTGCAGAGATATTTTCAGACTCTCACTTCTAAGGAAAGAGTGGACTGCTCACCCGTTGGACTTCAAGTGTTTCCCATCATTTTCTCTCTCTCCAAAGTGTTGTAGTATTAGGGCAAAATTAGGCAGAATGATGGCAGACCTATTTTTTTAAAAAATCCCAGTCTGTCTGGTCATATACAAAATGATATGTAAGTGAGATGGCATCTGATTTTAAAAGAAAAGGGGTGAAAGGCATCAAGTCCTCTCTTTCCCTCTGCCTCATCTCATCTCCTAGGGTCCTTTTGTCTTAACAGAAAATAATAGCAAAAGAGCTGAGCTGAGGGGGAAGAGGGTCCAGCGAACTTATGGGAAGCAGCCATTTACAAATTAAAACCAGGACCAGCTTCACAAGGCTAACACTATTATAAAATGAGGAGTTTCGAGAAGTCATCTTTATTTGATGTATGACAATCACCTTTCTCCCTCTTTTTTCTTTTTGTGATTAGCTACTCTGAGTATTTAGATGAGAAGAAAGGCAGGGGATCCATTTAAAAGTATTGTAGGTATCCTGATGAGAGCATAATATTTACTTATTAATTTATTTGTTCGTTTATGAAAACGTCTAGGGCCATCAAACTCAGTGACTAGCTTACAAGGATAAAAACCCAATATAAAAACAATAAAACAGCAATACACCCCCTCCCCAAATATATTTCTGACCTTTGGGAAAGATGTCCCTCAGGACATTACCCCCACTCCTCTTTTTCTTCTAGTCTAAATTTAATTGCTGTAGAGGAGATTGACAGGGAGATTGACAGGGGCAAAGCAGGAAGCAGTAGTGGCTTCCACTTTGTCTGTTCCCTTTTGTCAAGCCCACCCATTTGTTTGCGTTCTCTCTCTGAACCAATGGCAAAAGGAAGCTCCTTCAGAGTCTGTAACTCTGCTGATCAAAAATGGAACTTAGTAAGATATGGTCTAAGGTGACATGGACTCATATCCTATTTATACATTTAATTGTAAGAGATGGGCATTCCAATTGCCTTACCCAGTTTGACCCCACTGTCATATTCTCTGGTGTACATTCTCCCTTATCACCCACAGAATGACCCACAGGGAAAACTCTAATGAAAAAGCCATCATCCAATTCTCAAGGTCAGACAAAATAGCTGCAGAAGAGTAGGAAATAAGGTCACTTCCTTTCCCCCAAATAACCAATAGTCCCAATACTCTAAGGCCAAAGGGTGAAGAAACATTCTTTTGGAGATACATATTTTATTTGATTGTATTATTTTATTGTTTTATTGTTAGATTATTGTTTTAATTTTGTACGCCACCCTGAGTCCCTTGGGATTGGGCGGCATATAAATAAAATTAAATAAATATACAGATTGATTAATTCTCTATTGTGGTTTATATTGTATTTCATTCCAGTCCAATCAGGACCTTGAGTAGCTGAAGATCATCTATAAGAAAAAATTAAGACTCATCCATTCAAGTACAGCAAACAATTTCACACAAAATTCCACAACATGAGGTTTCCCCTCATAACAAATGTTTTCTAAGAGAGGATCTCAAGAGAGCTCATCATCCTGATTTAATGGATGGGAAAGAAGGCAGTCTTAAGCCATGTAAAATGTTGGAGAGGACAAACAGAATCTTGAACTGCCCCTAGAAGGAAAATGTTAACTGATGCAGCTTTCAAAGCAGAAGGGATACACTCCTTAGTCTAGAGGCTTCTTTCATTACTTGAGTTACTATTCAGCTGAAGCTTATGGGTGGTCATCAAGGGCATTCCAATGTACAACACATTACAATAGTCCAGATGAGAAACAATCATGGAATGGTACTAACTGATATACTACATGTGGTTGTGCAAAGGGCCTTTTACTTGTAACTGGTACCTGTTCTTCAAGTGGGAGATGAGTCCAAGAAGATCCTCAAGTTATGAACTAATTTCACATGTAATACAGTCCAGTACCAAAGAGAGAATATTCATGATCTTGGAGGGCTTCTTAAACTATGATCACTCCATCCAGCTAATATTAGGTCTGAGCCTGTTAATTCTCATCCAGATTCAGAACAGATAGAATTAAAAGTAAATTTAAACTTCCTCAAAAGTTTTCAGAAGACCTTTCTTTATTGCTAGCAGTTTTTAGGTGAAAAATTGTTAGTGTGATCTGTCCAAGGTCCTGATAGGGCCTACTCTGCCCTTGCCTTGGGCACCCTGTTGATACCAGGTGTGACCCTGTTCTTCCAAGATGTGCCAGTGAAGAGTGATCTTTTGGCAGATTCTGGAAATAAGTTAGAACCAAAAAATAGTATTATAAGCATACCATCTACAAACATGCTTACTAGAGGCAACACAACTCTACATTTTTCTCAAAGTTAGCTTCACGCTATAAATAAATCTAGGCTGGACAAGATAAGTTTCTAGTGATGGAAGTTCTTTGATTGCTTTCCTCTCTCTCTCTCTGTTGGGCTTCCAGGTCCTGCTCCATTTCTGCATGGAAGATTTGTCAGTCTCTCTTGCTCAGTATGTTTGACATAGGGTTTCTCTTTTATTTCTCCCAATCTCTTCTCCCCAATACATGCCTTTTTACTTTCATTAAAAATGTTACCATCCACCAATGATATTTTGGCTTTAACTCTCCTTTGTTCCCATATTCAATAGACTTTATAACCTTGCAAAAAATGCCTTTTGTTTTTCTTCTCTTGGCAAACTCTGGTCTGTATCTTGGATTATTTAGACTACTAAAATCTTCTCCTCCCATTCTCTCGTTATCCCTCCTCCACAGATACCCAGCATTCTGCTCCCAAAATCAATTGTCTCTTTTATGGCTCTTATTTTAGGGTACTTCTGATATTTTTGCATTGGTTTCAGATGGACCCTTAAAGCTGCAGAATTGTGTTATTAACTGTTAAGTTGAAGGAATGTGAAAGTAAGTAGTGGTGGAGGGGTTGGGAAGAACACAAACTTTAATGGAATCTTTCTTTTTTAATGTTAATTTTTAATTTAAAGATCAGGCAAAATCTCTATTTTTCTAGTTTACCAAATGTTGGCAAATATTCACAGAAAGTCATTTCTAACTTCACACTTCCATTCGCCAAATTTCAACTCTACAATATGTCATCTCTCTTTTGAATGGCTATTACCAGTATATCATTTCCAATCCTAAAACTATCAGGGAAAAGTTCAGGGTGAATATAAAGAAAACAACCTGAACTCCATCTTTTAACAGAACATTTTAAGAATAATCTTTTTGCTTAGAGCTTTATTTTATTCTAAATTCTCATGGCGCAGCCAGGATAATTTAATTAAATTCCATTTGGTAGCTGATAATCCAATATGAAGCCAAGACATTGCCTGATTAAGATGAGCTTTCCTGTTTCATTAAGAGGAAGTGAAATCTGCTTCAAAGCCTGACACACAAGATTTGGGCAGAATAATGAATTACTCCATTTGCTAAACACACCCAAACCGCGTCAGAAGGCTCTGCTGGGATATTTAATAACCACAAACATGTTTTGCAGATCACTTGTGATGGAACTGGAGAAAACAATCACTGTGCAGCTTCCCTTCAATTACAAAAATTAAAGAGAAAAAAAATCAAAAGATGACTGCAGATTTGAGAGATCACAATGGAGAAGAGGATCTTGGAAACTGATTCAACTAAATTTGAATTCTAAAATGTGTATAAAAAAATAAGCACAATGGAGCACAATGTAACACAATGTAGCACAATGGAGATAAAGGCACTGAAGGAAGGGCTTTATAGTTCTTTCACTATAAATGCAGATTTGATGATGGTGGTAATAATTATTCAACAGAGAGATGACATATTGTAGTAGATTCCTTAGTGCTTGCTGAACTTGGGTGTTTGCTTGCAGACATTTATAATAATAATAGTAAAGTTGGAAGGGACCTTGGAGGTCATCTAGTCCAACCCCCTGCTCGGGCAGGAAACCCTACACCATTTCGGACAAATGGCTGTCCAGTCTCTTCTTAAAAACTTCCAGTGTTGGAGCATTTCCTGCTTCTGGAGGCAGGCTGTTCCACTGATTAATTGTTCTCACTGTCAGGAAGTTTCTCCTTAGTTCTAGGTTGCTTCTCTCCTTGATTAGTTTCCACCCGTTGCTTCTTGTCCTGCCTTCAGGTGCTTTGGAAAATAGATTAATTCCCTCTTCTTTATGGCAGCCCCTGAGATATTGGAATACTGCTATCATGTCCCCCTTTGTCCTTCTCTTCGTTAAACTAGACATACCCAATTCTCGCAACCGTTCCTTATATGTTTTAGCCTCCAGTCCCCTAATCATCTTTGTTGCTCTTCTCTGTACTCTTTCTAGAGTCTCAACATCTTTTTTACATCGTGGTGACCAAAACTGGATTCAGTATTCCAAGTGTGGCCTTACCAAGGCATTGAAGAGTGGTATTAATACTTCACGTGATCTTGATTCTATCCCTATGTTAATGCAGCCTAGCACTGTGTTGGCCTTTTTGGCAGCTGCAGCACACTGCTGGCTCATATTTAAGTGATTGTCTACTAGGACTCCGAGGTCCCTCTCACAGTTACTACTATTGAGCATGGTGCCACCTATGCTGTACGTGTGCATTTGGTTTTTCTTGCCTAAATGTAGAACCTTGCTTTTTTCACCATTGAATTTCATTTTGTTAGTTAGTGCCCAGTGTTCAAGTCTGTCCAGATCCTTCTGTATCTGAAGCCTGTCTTCTGGAGTGTTGGCTATTCCTGCCAGCTTGGTGTCGTCTGCAACTTTGATGAGTTCCCCATCTATCCCTTCATCCAAATCGTTGATGAAGATGTTGAAGAGTACTGGGCCCAGAACAGAGCCCTGGGGCACCCCACTACACACTTCCCTCCATATAGATGCAGTTCTATTGAGGACCACTCGCTGAGTATGGCCGGTCAG